GTTTGATAATTCTTAAGTATGCTTCTTCCATTTTCTCTACAACCACTCACTTGATCTGCAAATTTAACAACTACTTGGAATTATGACCAACTCTCAAGCATAGAGAATCCCCTTTCTTGGTCTCGTTCCTGTAGTCGGTCAGTTTTCACTACACAAAGTGTTCACAATTTCCAAGACTACTTGTTCTGTTTATAAATTTGTACTCTATTGTGAACTCCATAGTACAATAGGTCAGCAAAAAGGAAGAGCATGATTTCATCTGGAGGAAGTGCCAAGAATTGAAGGAAGGCTATTGACATTGAGGTGAAAACAAAGATCATAAATGACTTAAGCTGATAAAAAGTTAGTGGTAGTGCGTGACTTGGAGTGTATGCATTCAACTGTTTCAATGATCTTGAAGAATAAAGTATGAGAGGCAGCAAAAGCACCAACAGGATTTAAAGCAGTAAAAACACCTCATTCATGAAATTAAGAAATTACTGGCAGTCTGGTTTGACAAAAAAAGAGCCTTTTTATTAATTCAAACCAAAGGCAAAGAATTGATGGAAATATTTATGGAAGACATGAATGGTTTCAACAGTTTAGTGTTGATACCTTAGTGATTCAACCTGCATAATAAGAGTGTCAGTAGTGAGGTGACAAGCAGAAAAATTTTGTTTATCAATTTAATAAAATTTTTGAGAAATGCAGTTACCACCTGGAATGGATCTTCAATGTGGGAAAAACCAGCTATATTTTGGAAAAAGTACCCAAAAGGTCCTTCTTACATACATAAAGAAGCTAAAAGAATGCCTAGTTTCAAGATTTTTAAATCCAGTTTCCTTAAAAGGGCAAGGTCACATTTTTGTTGGGAGGAAATATCACTGGGTTCACTTTGAGAACCCACATGAATTGAAGCAGGTTAATAAGCAACCGTGCCTTACTATCATGTAAATAACAGCTTTATTTGGGGATTGGTTTATCAACTGCTTCATATCCTATTGTCAAGCATTATTGTCCAATGATCTGAAACCCTTCAATTTCTTCCACTTTAAAAAACAAGGGATAAAATCTTTAACTCCACCTGAAGGTCCTAGGGTGGACAAAAAACATTTGTGGTACATTACAAAATAATTGCAAAGCATTATTAAGGTTAGTGAGGTGTATTTATAATTAATGCTTTCTTTATTGGATGGATTTCAAGGGATTAAAAGTGAAAGAAACATTGTTATAGACCTTACTTGATCAGATATTCATTAACCAGAAATGATCAATGGAGGCCCTTAGACACACCCTTAACATTCAGAGATGGCTTTGACAAATGGAATAGATGCTGGCAAAAATGTATATCTCAGAAGGAGCAGACTTTAAAGGTAAGAATTATTATAAGAATTTGTGGTTATTTAAAAACACCCATGTCAAAAGTTTGGTTTATTTTTGACTCTACCTTATACTTGTATATTGATTTACATTATTTTATTTCATTTAAAATAAAAATTACAAATATTTCTCAATTAAAAAATATAACCATTTCAAATATTAAGTATTTTTATTTAGATTTGAAAATTTTTGTCCATAGTTTTGTTTATATAATTTAATTTTTACTTACTTTCTATAATTTAACATATTTCAGTTCATACAATCAATTCAACTTGTAAAATATAAACATACAAGTACATGCACCCTATACATTTTACTACAAATTTATTTCATATAAAGTAGCATCAGTTTCCATCCAAAAACACTATCTTCTTAATGTGAATGGTGATAAAAAACTTTATTCTGAATGAATTTATTATTATTAAATTGAAAAAGTGTATAAATTTATATTATTATTGTTTAATTCACATTATTAATGTACAGTTAAGTCATTATAATCTACCGAAAAGTATTTTATTGCCATTGAAAACTTGACAAATCGGCACAAAAAGTTTTTATTAAAATTTGTTACTCAAATATGATTGTTAACATTTCATGTAAACTTCAGAAAGACAAGGAAAAATGTTACAAATATTAAAAATCAAAATATCACATATAACCATAAGATCTGTTCTGTAATTTGATGTGAGCATTATAATAACACAGTAATGAATTTAATTAGTTTTGTAACAATATTCAAAATATATTTTCTGTGCAGTATTTAATAATTTTGGTTAATACAATTAAAAAACTTTAACTGTATCAGATTTAAACATTTACAATAGTAAAATTTTAAATATATTTTTCGTAAATTTCCAAAGTTTCCATAATAATTAATCACACATTTTCATTTCTAGTGGAAAATGTAAAATCTTACTATGATATATCTATTTAAAATTATCAAGAATGGGTACTTAATAATTGTAGAAATGAAATATACATTAAGTAATGTGAAAGAAAACAATTATTATATAATAATTTTAAATAATATGATTATAATTTTGGTAGACTATATATTTGACATCAAATCTAATGAAAGGCTGAAGATTAGATTCCATGTGCCAAATTCTAATTAACCTATTATCAAAACTAAATCTCAGAATCAGCCAATTCATAAAATATAATAGCACAGATATAACATTACAGTAGAGCGTCAATTTTCCGAATCAATTGGGGACTGGGGTTGTCTGGATAACTGATTTACGTACGAAAAAATAGTTTAACGTATCCGATGTCGAAATTTTTCTCCGTTGCGTGTCGCTTTGTGTTGAATTTTCGTCGATGTTAAGCCTAACGAAGACTATTGTATCGTTAAAAATTATTTTTTTATTTTGTACAAACAAAATAAATATATTGAAAAATATAAAAATAATAAAAAATTATACTTCAGATGTTAATTTAGTATCAAAAACGTAAAATATTTGAGTAGCCCAAGAAATAGCCGAAGATTGCAGCGCCACAGCACTGGTGAAAATTTAAATTTGCTCACTGGAATTCTTTCGGATGATTGAATTTCGGAAAATCGACGCTCTACTGTATTTATTGCTTATAGCTCAAAACAAAGCTTAATGTTAAAAACTAAAAATATTCATTTCATTTTTATCTCTTCATCTGCTTTAATCAATCTACTAAAAAATAGATATACAATATTTTAAATGTTTTCTCAGAGAAGAGTTTACAACAGAAATGCTAAAACTATCTATATATGTATTTCAGCTATTCTACAATGTTGAGACATTTGGAAAATAGAAAGTCAAATAATCAAATCCACAATATAGTTTTAGACCAAAAAATCATTTTATTGAAGAAGCAAATAAAGATTTTAAAAAATAAGAAGCTAATACAAGTAATCAACTGACAATATAAAAAGAGGTAGGAAATGAAGTTCCATCTTTTTGGATATCCAATGCTAAGCAAAAAGAGGAACTGGCAAAATATGTTAATAATTAATAAGACAAATTTAAGGATACAACATCAAAACACAATACCTTACAATCAGGACAAAAATATAATATGCCACTCAAGGATAAAGCAGTTAATATTGTATCAGAAATTGATAAAGCTATTACATAAGTTAGAATGAAGAAAGGAATGTATCAAATAAAAGATTTAGAAAAACTAGGAAAAAAATATTAAAAGTGAGATGATAATTTATGATAAAATAGGAATATAACATTATAAAAAATGTAATTTTGTAAGGACTTTTTAAAAAAAGAATAATTTAACTTTACAAGTGGATAAGGCTGATTAAATTTATTTTTATTTGTATTTTTTTTATATTATATAGTATTTGTATTATTTGTTATTTGTAAGATCTAAATCTTGCTTTTTATTTCCAAGTGGGTTTATTTCCACTTGGAAATCGGAAATAAATATCCAAGTCGATTTCCAAGCAGAAATAAGCCCACTTGGAAATCTTTTTGTGACGAAGTAGCTTAGTTCTATATAAAAGCTTAATTAAGCTTGAGATAACTCTTGATAAATAATTTATTTATTTATTTATTATTTTAAGCAAACCGAAATTTATTATGTGTAGCACTTTTATTAATAATGTGTCACTTTTTAATATTTGTATAACCAACTATTTGAAATTTTTGCTTGTGTAATTTTTCAAATTCCGCATTCAATTTTAGAGAAATAACTGAAGATGGACGCTTAATGCGTTTGAAAACGTTCTTATGTTATTAAAGAATTTTGCTGAACTTCTGAATGGTTTTTTATATTATTAACTTGCTTTTTATTTTTACCTAAAGAAGAGTGAATTAATATATGAAAGAACATTCAACTGAAATGCATTGTTTAATAAAAATAAATAACTTTTCCTGAGTATTTCCTTGGTGCAAGTTTTTTGTCTCTGATTAAAGTGGATAAAGGGGTAAAACAAAATGAATATTTTTAGTTTTTAATTTTTAATCTTGGTTTTAAGCTATAAGCCATAAACCAGATGAAACTTTTTGAAGTACAACACTTTTATTATGAAATACAATAGATTTGATTATGTTAGCTTTTCAATTAAATATCGATAGTTTATTTTAATAAGTTTTGATTTCAAAATTTCAATTAATAATCATCAGGTTTTTAACAAGACATTCTATGGAAAAAATTAACACAAATTTTATAAATTATTATATTAATACAAATCACATCACAAACAAAATGATAGCATCAATCACAACCATATATTTAATAGAAGAAAATGCAATTTTAAGAGATTAATGTGAAATGTAGACTAAAACCAAGTTTATCATTGCCATAAATGACACACAATTATCATTTCTGGTAATGGTAGCTATCTAACTGTTGACCTAAAGAGAAAATCCTATATTTTTCAGAAAACAATTTTACATAATAAAACTTTTCTGATAAATACTTAAATTATTATACATTATACATAATTTTTGCAGTGATGATTGTGTAAAAATAAATATAAGTAATGGATAATATTAATTGTGTGTTAATAAAATAAAATAAAAATTATAATTTTTTCCTCATTAGGTTTAGAAATAAAATAAAATGTTTTGTAGACTTAATAAGAAAAACAAGTTATAATTTTTATTTTATTTTAAAAATCAATATCATTTAAAAAAAATGATAAAAAAAATAAGACAGATAAATTTATAATAATTTAAATATGGAATTTTTTCAATTGATATAAGATTTTGATAGTAAAGTAACAAAACAATTATGTAAATTCCTGACATATTTAAATTAAAATATACATGTAGAAAAATTAAAGAAAATTTATTACACTTTACAAATACAGTGATTTGGATATTATCACGAGGCACGTATATGATCCGGAATTTTTCTAGATGATATAATTTTTTGTAGGAACTCTGTTACTACAACATTTCCTGCCTCTTGAGCTAATTCTAAAGGTGTAAGTCCATCCTATAATTGTAATAATCTTAAAATTAGATATTTTTATTAACTTATTCTAATTTTCTACAATACAGAAATCTCTTATGATTTTTTATGTATTAGTTTAATTTTAAGAAATGCAGAACAGTAACATGGGCTATTCAAAATGATTGTAGGGTTTCTGTGACTTTTATTATGGAACAGTGCAATAAACATATGATAACTTTAGCCCCATAATTGGCTACAATCTCTCAAAGTTTCATTCCATATCACATGTGATCCATTATATTACACATATTACAGTACCATCAAGTGGCAGCTTTTGCAAAATGGCAGAAAATGGGGGAGAGAAGGCATTTTGTAGGTTAATTTTCATCAAAGTGAATCCATTATTGTTGCCCCGTAATATTTCTGTACTGAATTTTGGAAGGATCCACCTTCAAACAATTCCATTTACAGGTTGTATGCCTGATTTCAGAAGAATAGTTGCCTGTGGAAAGGAAAAACCAATGACCATCCTCCATGTCAGAAATGAAAGTGGAACAGATAAGAAAAACCATCATATGAAGCCCTAGAAAATGAAGTATGAAAGTCAGCAGAAATCTAAGTATATCACAACTGATAGTGTGGCATATCACAGAAATAACTGAGAATGAAGGCATAGTACCTTAAGCTGCTGCAAGCTTTAAGACCTGATGATCACTGCCAAAGAGAGAATTTTTGTATTGAACTGTAAGCTTTGATAAATGAAGATGGCTTTTTTGACAGATTGATCTTTCTGATGAAACAACCTTTCATTTCTCAGGTAAAGTAAATAGGCACAATGTTTGAATTTGGGGGACAAAAAGTCCCTGTGTTTACATTGAGCATGAACATGACTCCTCAAAGTGAATGTCTTTCATGCAGTTTCCAAAATAAAGATGTACTGCTCCTTCTTCACCAAAAACACTCTAAAAGGAATGTCATATCTGGACATGATTGCTAAATGGCAACTATCCCAACTTTGAGGACAGTAACAATTTCATACTGCAATAAGAGCCCTACTTTATTTTCACCAGAATGTCAAGAACATTTTAAACCACTATTTGCTGCAGCAATGGAGTGGACATGGACACAAGATAATCATAAATTCCTTGCTATCTCAGTCTCCAGACCTAACTCCAGATGATTATTTCCTTTGGGACTATTTGAAGGAACAAGTTTTTGTCCTTCTTCCATGAATATCTTGGAACTGCAGAAGCAGATCACAATTGCAATTGGAATTATTGTGGTAGACATGCTCAACAATGTGTGGGATGAAGTGGATTATTGTTTAGCTGTCTTCAGAGACAAAAGGCATTCACATTGATCATTTGTAATAGACTTAAAAAACTTTGAATTTCTTTAACAAATAAACAAGTAAATAAAAGTATGTATTCTAGTGTGCTATGTGGTAGTTTCTTAAAACTCCGACAATCATTTTGAATAGCCTGTATTATCCATTACATATTATTAAATGCTTACACCTCTTTATCAGAATATTCAAAAACATAACATTCTATTCTAAAATGCTTTCCAAATTCAGTTAAACATTGAAACCTTTGTTAAAATAAATGATATTTTCTACACAACTTTGGTTTGTTTGTAACACTATAGAAAATAATTTATACTATCAGGCACATTGATACAATAATCCATTTGCATAAGGTAAGTGAAGGTAATTATATCAACTTAAGTTTTCTCAATTTTTTATACTTTTGTGAGGGTGAGGGAAAAATTTGAAAATAGGTACTATCAAGAGGTATATTTTATTAACAATAAAAAAAATATTTGAACACTCTATCCTTCTTTCCAACTCCACAGCACTTATTTTTCAAAAAATCAGCAATATGGTATATTTACCAAACACTACAGGTAAATAAATCACTCAAAAAAATTTTCAGTTTGAATTAATTTTTTAGAAGTACCAAACAAGATCACTTAAAACTTTTTAAATAAAACATACTACAGAGTTTTTACAAATTTATGATGGTACAGAACCGAAGAAATACTTAATTTTCTGCCATCAGTCTTATGCAATCATCCAATGTTGAACCAACATTAAAATAAATTACAAAACAAATACATTTGTAACGATAAAATGCATGAGTGGAATAATTGCCAGCATTTCATACTTCACAAATAACCTATTTTTCTGTTCTACTGGAACATTTATTGACAAAAACTGATATTATATTCTTAAAATTCACTGTACATTAAATTTACTTCAAAATGACTATATATAAAAATTTTTACCATTAAAAGAATTCTGTACAACACACAATTAAGCAGCAGACCTACAAATTACAGTAGAGGAATTTTGATGAAACAAAATGATGTTAATGGCTATAAAACTAAACAAAACACTTTAAGGTAGGTAGTTCATTCTTATGGATAATAACTCAGTAGCTATGCCTTAAAGTACAGCATATGCAATCTGTCAACAATTTCATATACTAATTGGGTTAAATAAACTTAAGTAGCACCAAGTAACAGTGGCACAATTACCTGCACCAACCTTATTTAAAAAAGTAAAAACAGTACTCAAAACCATATTTGATATTTTTTGAATGTTATCATAACATATAATTCCATTGAACACAGTTTGCATATTCCATGGAATTATGTTACTCAAACAATCTAATAAATCCATGTGAATGACTAAAAGAAACTATAGTCAAACCTCAAGTTTCAAACTTAATTTGTTCCTAAAAGTTGTTTGAAAACCAATTTCTCTCAAACCAAAACAAATTTTCTCATAAGAAACAATATAAAATGGATTATTCTGTTCCTGACCCCAAAACAAAGCCCCCTTTTTTTTACCTTTTTAGCTGCTTTTCATGCATAAAAATGCCTATAAATGCAATATAATATTATATATAATATATTATCATCTATATCTATAGCCATTTCATATATAAATTATATTAAAAGCAAAATGTTCCGTCACCGCCAACCAAAACTGAAACCATCACTTTACAAAGAAGTGCTGTAAATAGAGACTCAATTCTACCTGGATGAAATATGACCAAATCAATCAAGACGAAAAACAAATACTTTATCCACACTTTCCGAAATATTATGTTTCAATTGCTTTGATTTAAATTTAAATTTTAATTAATTAATTAACTTTGATTTTATTTTTAATTTTAGTTTCAGTGTAAAAACCAGCATTTTAATTATTAGTTTATTATTTTTAGTTTTAATTAACTTGCTATCTAGTATTAATAAATACTAAGTTATATATTAGTATTATATATTAATAAATTTTTGTTATTTAATTTGAGTTAAGCACATTTAAACACAGATTCATGGATGTCATTTATATGACATGAATGTCAATTAACGAAGTTTTTAATTAATTAATTAGTTTTAAATTCAACTGCAATGCGTACTGAAAAAACATTAGTAGTATCTTACCCACATACACATTGAAATCTAATTTGAATATCATCGTTGATGGTTTGTGTCATGACATCTAATGATGCAAGGCAATCTCAGCATCATTATATGGGCTGTCCATAAATTATATGTGCATTTTTATTGAAATTTTTACTCTCCCTTTCTTCATTGTCCCACCTTCCATAACACCTCATCTCTCCAGATGTTGAACAAAACTCAATCCCCTCAAAACCCTTATCACTTTATGAATAATTAAATGCATAAACTGTATAAAAGTTTATGAAATAAAATGACATTCATTAAAGTTCAACCTCTCTCTCGCCCCTTGTCCGACTTGTCATTAAGCCCCTTCCTCCCTTCCAGTGTGGACATCATTTTTGGACAACCAGTAGTCCTGTCGTTGATTGGTCAGGTCGTCAACTTTCTTTAACACAAGAAGTATATGGAGTTAGCTGTCTGTGTCTCTCTAATCTGTGACCAGCTCTTGTCGAGTAGATTATTCAGCAACTGCATTATCGTATGACAATCAGAGCTAATATGATGTTCAAAATTTTGTTCGTAAACCAAATTGTTCAAAAAGTGAGGCATTTGAAACAGGAGGTTTGACTGTATTACAAAAAATAATTTACTTTCTGTACATTTATAGTTTATTAAAATCTTACTTGATTTTTTAATTCTGGATCAGCTCCTGCTGCTATTAAAATTTTCACAATAGGCAAATGATCAAAAAGAGCAGCTGTATGAAGAGCACTTTCTCCATTCTGAAATATTTATGTCAAAATATTATTATTTGTTGGTCTAGAGTTTTTTAATTTTCCATGTATCATAATATCAAAGTATTTTGATATTTTTTAAAATTTTGAATATTTAAATAAAACTAAATGTAATATTTATAAATATATTATAACCTAAGTATAAATAAAATTTTATAATTTACATCTTTAATAATAATAATAATGTTTATTGATTTAAATTTAAATTTCTTACAATGGGGACTATTTGATTAAATAATGTTAATAAATGTACATACAATCCATAAAATAAATTAACGGAGAAATTCCAAAGATTTAGAGAAAAAGGAAAAAAACTTAAATAAGGTGATTTTTGACATGACCTCGTTCTTCAAAAAATCACATCTGAACTCGTCTCCTAATATAGCACTTTTTAGTTGATATGTCACCTGACAGGATTCAAACAAATGAGTCAGAAGATTTCCTTCCTCTTTAGCACCACAATAACTACAGCACCCTTCACTGAATATATTTATTCTATAGCCTTTAAACAAAATCCGAAATTTATTTAATCTGAGTTGCATAATGAGACTTTTTGTGAGAAAATTAGTCTCACAATTCAAGTAACTTGCTGTACACCAGACCAAGCGTGATTCAAACAGATTAACTCGTTTAGCTGATATGGAAGACATATCCCAGTTCCACAACTGATCTGACTTAGTTTGAATTAGTGCATTTAAATGGGTTCTCAACAAAGAAGCTGAGTAAGATAAAAATAAAAAGGAATAATCCAAGCCATCAAAAATATTTTTAACTGAAGCTGGCCAACTTTTCTTACCAGGTTTAACTGCTGTTAACAATAGATTATATGTTATTCAATGCAAATCACATGAGGGTAATTCCATGACTTTTGACCAGAACAAAACAATATCCTTAACAAATTTCAGTTCCAAAGGAGGTCTTCCCAATTCAAGACAAACTGCAGAACTTGAAACTGAACGTTCTATTTTAAAAAGTCTCTTAAAATATTTCATCTGTACTTTTTCTATTTTAGACAGAAATTCCAAACCCCATACAGGGAATAAATAAGACATCCTGGAACGAATAAAAGCATCAAAATGCCTAAACATAGATGCCTTCTCATAGAGCTTAGCCTCATACGTTTTTGTAGAGTAAGAATGTAGCCTGTCTTTTTCTGTATATCTTCGACCATCAAGTTAAAATGATGACTAAATGCACCTGAAGAAGAAAAATGTATTCCTAAGTATTTAATATATGTAACAAATTCAATTTCAGTGTTATTCACAAATATCTTATCAGATTTCAGTAATCTTCCTCCATTGCGAAAAACCATTCCCTTTGTTTTTTGTAAGTTAACTGTGAGGTCATTTCTTTCTGCATAATTAATCAGCAAAGATAGTTTTCGCTGTAAACCCGTCTTTGAATCTGCCAACAAAATTACATCATCTGCATACATTAGACAATGCAGGTCGACAGAATCTCCAAGTGTTAAACCCGAAATTTCTGAAGTAGCAAACAATTGCGGTAAATCGTTAATAAATAATATAAACAACAGAGGACTTAAAGGCTCACCCTGTGGCAAGCCTCCACCAGAAATAACACCCTTAGTAGCTGTCGAGTTGCCGCTCACATGATACCTTGTATTACAAAATAAGTTTTTAAGTAGCTTAATAAACGAAGTTGAAAGTCCTAATGAATATAACTTTCCCCACAAAATATTAAGATTGATTTTATCAAACGCCTTTTCCAGGTCCACAAATATCGAATAAATTTTACGTCTTTTCCTTGACAGAACATACTGTATTAACCCGTTAAGTATAAAGACATTATACATAGTTCCTCTTCCTTGAACAAATGCTCCCTGAAACTGAGAAATAATATTGAATTCAATTAACCATTGACTCAACCGATCTGCCAAAATTCCAGTAAACAGCTTTCTAAACGTGTTTAGCAAGAGGCTTTAATTTATCTCCTTTCTTGTAAATCATTTTCAACAACACATTTCTCAGGAACTTTCATTGTTTCCTTAATCTTATTAAATAATGTGAGTAATTCTAAACACACCTCATCAGGTAAGTATATAATAAATTCATTATTTATACCATCCATGCCAGGAGCTGATTTCCTTTTAAGTTTACTGATTGAAGTTTTTAACTCCGATAATGAGATTGGAGCGTCCAAAATAAGAGAAACATTTCCATGATCAAACTCAAGAATTGAATCTGAAATTGGATGACAAAAATCATGCTCCAAAAAACGTTCCCAATCTTGAAGAGAAATTTGACTATCAGGTTTTTTTTCCTTCTAAATCTGTTGACAATACACCAAAACTGTCTAGAAGATCGTGTATTTTGCAGCTGTCTACTAATATTTGACCAATAATTCTTCTTCTTTATCCTACACAATGATCGAAAGGCAGCCCTATAACCACAATAATCCCTCAAATCATCTTTACTACGAGATGTCCGGAACCTCCTCAACATCTTATTCTTCAGTCTCTTCGCTGTTCTACAATCACTATCAAACCAAACTGAAAACGATATTTTTGTCATTCCTAAGTATGACAACATTCTGCATTGTTCAGCTGATGTCTTAATTAAATCCAAAATTTCGGAATACCTATCCTCCATTCCGTCACTTAAGACGACATTTGCGTATCCGACCGAAACTGTTTCAGAATATAAATTGGATCTATCCTCTTTCCAAGTTAATCGTTTTTTCCTATCAATCAGATTAAGTTTTCTATCCTTGTCAGTATCAATTAATATTTCAAAATTCACCATATGATGATCAGACATGTAATCATCCGAAATAACAAAATTACGTAGACTCCCCAGCAAACTTTCGCTCAATATCACCAAATCAATTACTGAAGCACCCAATCCAGATGTATAAGTGAAGTCCGCTGGTGAATCAAAAGGATAACAACCATTTATTATGTATAAATTATAGGATTTCACCAGTTCAATAAGCAAATTCCCTCTTTTATTACAAATTTTGTTGTTTGATAGTCGAATATTCGAAATCACATCACCACCACAAATAGTATCCATAGTCAAGCCAATTTGTGCATTAAAATCACCCATCATCAAAAAATCATAATCTGATTACATCTTTAATATTGCTTAAGTGGTTATTATATCATGTCATTTAAATTCAGTTATAATCAAACATCACTTCATGCAAATAGATTTAAGTTTAAATTGCTTAACTATTTTCAGATTAATTTAAAATTATATATTATTAAATTATGTTATATAATGATATATTCAATATTAAAATCACTCATTTGCAATATGAAACCATTACAGAATTTCACTATAATAAAATGTTTTGAAATTTATTCCAATTGATAAGCATTAAATAATATATATTAATATTTTGATTATTTTTCTTGTTGACTGATATTTTCTAGAAAAAAATATTTATTAAGATATAAACATTTAAATACAATAAAAATAGTATTTGGCATTGAAGGTGCTAATAATTTTCAACTCTCAGCACAGGAAAAGTCACATCAAAGTTACTCTCATCTTTTTTATTTAATAAACTGAATTCTAGTAAATAATTATTACACTTCATTATGAAAAATATCATCATATAATTAGTACAGTGATGCCTTGTACTTCAAATTTAATTCATTCCAGGAAGCAGTTCAAACTCTGAATTGTTTGAAGTCCAAATCAGTTTTTCTCATAGAGATAATGGAAAGTCAGTAAATCCATTCCCAGATCCTAAACCAGGGGTGTCCAGCCCGCGGGCCGCATGCGGCCCAAGGCAAGTTCCAATGCGGCCCAAGGCAAGTTCCAATGCGGCCCAATAAACGTGTAAACAAAACCTACAAATGTTTTAATTTTTTATTATTTATTTATTTCAATGGCATAAACTCAAAAAAAAGTTTCACAAAGCCGTAAACCTTTATTCATATTTTATTTTTGAGTGGAAAGAAAATATTTCAAATACTTGGAGATGTGTGAATGCGGAAGGATTACTAAATAAAGCTGGAGTTGTGTCTCAAAGAATTATATACCCAAATTTGGGAAAAGGAGGGAAAGATGAGAAAGGACAAAAGATGTAGTAGTGAGAAAGGTTAAATAGATCTTCTGTTAAGCAAATATGGACCCATAATTTTTCAACCTTTTTCACTTCTTTATCTTTTGTTTTTTGCCTCTTTTTTCCGCACTTGGGTCTATAATCCTTTGATTCACAGCTCCAGCTTTATTTAGTATTTCTTCCAACGTTGCGAGATTTGGCTACATTGGGCCAAATGTGGCTACTTTTTTTGGTTTGACGTAAAAAATATCATTTGGCGCTTTGGCTACTTTTTCGGTTACATATTATTTATAATTATATAAATTGAATAAAAATGCACTTCAAAATGGTGGTTCGTCGTTTTTATTAATTAGAGACACAAATAAAACAAATATTTGTGTTTTTCAAATAAATTTTCGTTTGTTTCTTTTACAATAAATGAATTTATCTATTTCTAAGTAAAAATTGAAAGTGTCTGTAGAAGTAATTTTTTAACATATTTTTTTTCTTGATAAAGTTATAATATTTATTATTATTATCTACACATGTTAGTCCTTAAATATACTTGTATATTCGGCCACAAGTATATATTATATATACTTGTGGCCGAATATTTAAGGAAATTACAAGTATATATTATATATACTTGTGGCCCAAAACTCCTTGACTTCTTCCAATGCGGCCCAGAGAAACAAAAAGGTTGGACACCCCTGTCCTAAACAATATCATTTCGATATACTTAAAACAGCAATAAATATAATTGAAGGTAAAAATAACACAATCAAATGCCCTAATAATAAATTAAAACATGTAAACAATAAATAAAATACATAAATACTGTACAATAAATGAAAATTGCATCTACCAGTCACACACCATTGACTTCAGCATCTTAAACATGGCCACATGTACACCCTTTCATGCTAGGTGATAAGTTCCTTTTTCACCTCAATTGTTTATACTACAATCTTCTTAGACTTTGTTGCTTCCACACACTTCTTTGATGTCATGGTTAATAAATAAAGGTTATATTGGATTGAACAGAAAAGAAAATACATAAGTTTTTGGATATTTTAACAGCTGTGGTTAATTAATACAGATGTGTGATTTAAGTTTTAAATTTAACACATTATTGCTAATGTGAGATTGTATTCTATGTTTAGAAGTTTATTTAAACTTTTTACTTCACATTTTGTTTGAATAAAATCAAGTTGAAATGTCTTCAGATAAAAAGAATAACAGACATATTAAATTTCAGAAATGATATAATGCCATACAAACAGTAAAAAAATTCATATGTATGGGAAGATGCTCCTAAACTTCAAACATGTCAAATGTGGTTTAAAAAGGTCTATTCAGTGCAAATCTTCCAAACAAGTGAAAAAGTCACTGAAAACATTTGAGCATAACATGGGAGCAAGAGATGATTGGGTGCACAACAGATGGTGTTTATGCTTGGAGTGTATATTCTCACTGTGCAGCAGTTTGAATGTCAAAGTGAATTTTTGTCAAATTTAGCATTTGAAGTTAGAGTCATTTGAAGTATGAGGTACCAGTGTATATGCTTTTAGTGAATTTGATTTTTAAAAATATAAAAACATATTAGCATTTTCATATTATTCTAGTATAATTATATATACATACTTTTAAAAGTCCAAGAGAAGCTCCTCTTTTTATAAGAAGCTCAACAATTTCAGAATATCCTTTATGAGCTGCCTTAAATAAAGGAGTTGCACCATCCTAATTAAATTAAAAATATCAGCTTAATTTAAATCTCTGAATGACAAAATGAACAAAAATATATATCATTTTTAAAAATTAAAACCAAGAAAAAAGTTATTTACTAATCTAGTAGCATCTACTTCAGCATCTTTTTCTAATAATTCTCGTACAACAGCTGTATGACCCATTTGACAAGCAATCCATAATGGTGTTGCTCCATCCTAAAATTAAAAAATTTCTATGTAAGAAAAAGATAATATTAAATTTTGTAATTATGATGAATTATAAATATGCCAAAAATGAGCTATCTATTACATGTATTACAATTATACAACTAATTGAACAATTCTACTATTACAAAATTCAGAACAATTTCAAAAATATAAGCAGAAACTGCATTAAAAGTTTTTGAATTTTTTTGAACTAGATTAATTAAATGTTCCAGGTCTACTTTGTCACGGTTTATACATTTTTTTCTTGTAAAGAAAACACTAACTGGAATCCATATTGTTTTTGTATTTTATGAAAGAAAAGTCTCAATTTAAGAACATAATTCAGATAATAATAATTGTATGTATGACTTTTATGGCAAAGTTGTACCTCTCTCTCTTAATAATCATACAATTACTTATTACTGATTTGCAGGAATCTCTCAACATATTATATGAATTATTGTTACAGATACTTTTTAAAGTTCAAATATAAACATTTATTCTTCCAATTATTACTGATTTGCATTTATTTTTTATTATATTTTTTTAAAATCTTTTTTTAAAATATTTGCATATTATCATCAGCCATTCTATAAAATATATTAAAATTTAATTTATTTCATTTAACTATAAAATACAAATAACAGAATCCAAATAAATTTAAATAATTTGTAAATTCTTATTAACATATTTAAAACAAAAATTATCTTTAAATAATGTATATTATGTAATTATAAATGTATTTTTAAGTCATGGTAAAATTATTGTTAATATCTTACAACAACACAATCTCAATATTAATACTGACCAATTTTATTTTCACTTAAAATAAATAATTTATAGCACTTGAATATTTATTTCATTGCAAATTAATCTTTGTTTTTGATTTTTTGTGTCTGGAAGCACTTATTAGTTTAAAATCAGTGTCATATCTGTTCACACTGACATACATAAAGTTGAAGAAAACTGCTTAATTCTGGGAACTAAATTAAATTTTGAGGAATAACCTCATTTCCAGAATTAAGCATTTTTCCTCATTTATTTCAATATGATTCCAAATTCAAATAACATTTGAACTTGGAATCATATTGGGAGTCTAAACTTGCATTACATAAGGTCAAGAACACTGATGTAGAGAGTTAACTTGCCTCTTGGGAGGTCAAGGAACACTGAGTAGAGATTGAGTGTCTCAGGATAAGAAAAACTGGACAAAGAGCCTATCTTGCCTCATAAAAGGTCAAGAACACCAAGGAGAGTGAGCTGGAGACAAACCAATGAGAGCTTTGTTTTGGCAGTGGCCCTCCTTTTTAAGCAAAAATCTCATCCAATCAAATTAGTCAAAAAGTTCTCCACACTTTTGACAAATGATGAAAGCCAGACAGTTTTTGCAATAGGATGTGTGAAATCCCACGCTTTACTATCAAATTCAAGGGAAATGATGTTATCTTTTATCATCTTTTTCAAACAGAAAGGATGTTCCCTTTCCTTCTTTTCATCAACTTTCTTTACAAAACAAGTAAAATTTAACAAAAATATGTTAAAATAAGTTTATCAACTCTAGATTCTCACATTTATATTAAAAATAAAAAGAAATTAATTCAAAACAGCTGCTCATAATTGATATGTTATATTCACTAGAAGGTTATTTTATATTTATTTAAGTATTTGTTTTATTGTTAATGAATTATTTTTAAGAACTTGTCAACTTTACTTTTAGTGTGCAAATTATGTTTATGATTTTCCTAACTGTAAGACAATTGACACTACCTAAATAAAAAAGTCACTGAAATTTGTAATTGTTTTTTAAAAGTTTTTAATGAAATATTAAAAGAAAAACTATTAAAACAGACCAGAAATTAAGATAAATATAGCAATACTTCAAGAATGTTTTTGCATAAAAATACAATTAGAAGCAGGTTAAACAAGAGAAAAAAAATTAACTGTAAAATTATTTAAATCTATGAAAATTTTAAATAATACAAACAAAACTTACTGTTCGTCTGGCATTAACATCAGCACTCAAACCCAGTAGAAAAGAGACAATTTTAAGATGACCATTTTGAGCAGCAACAAACAGCGGAGTTGCTTTATCCTATGAGAAAATGGATTTTTAATTATTTGAAATTAAACTTTTTTAATATTATAAACTAAATTTGAAAGAAATAATTTCAAACTTTTTGAATATAAAAATTATGTAATATATATCAGAGAATTAAATGAAAGAGCCTGCAAGCAGTGAGAAGTCTAATAATTCTGTCAGTCAAACTTGATGCTGTGAGCTGGCAATGCTTTTTGCCTTGCTATAAGCTATAGAAAACACTTAAATTTAGAACAATAATAACTATGGACTTGAGGAATAATATTGTAAATTCTAAATAAGTAAATAAATAAAAACTTCATGCACAATCCTTTCTTTATTAAGCCAAAATCTATTTCTTTTCACATTTATGTAAAGAGAACTATAAGATTTTATCCAGTCTCATTAAATGTTCATTGGATTCACTTCTAAGTACTTCTAAAAGATTTCAGTGGCTTTGCTTCTAATGTTCAAATGTTGCTACTTATTAAAAAGTTTGTAAAGGCACAGATTATTCAGGATAGTTTTGTATACCACTGTCTTGATTTTCAGTAACTTTTCTTCTTTATGCAATTTCCATTATGGAAGTTCTTTATTCTGTAAATTAAATCTTCTACTATAAGCTAAAATTTTTGTAAATTATTTATAAAACACATCTTTTCATACATTTCCAGCACTTCTTTATAGTTCTAACAAACGTTTCCAGCTTGATTTACAGGCCTTCTTCAGGTTAGAAGCTGTTCTAATTGGAAGGAGTGATGCTGTGTTCCAAAATGGAACAGTTCAAAGTTTCTTTGATTTATTTAAATTTTTGTTAATGCAAAGCCCTTGGCTTGCTGCTTTATAGATGTCGATTGCTTCACTTATTCTTAATTTTTGTACCTCAAACATATTTCTTAATAATTTTGCATCTTCCTAATATGGGGGCACCCCAGGCTTGAATATTGAGCTAAGGCAGTGTTACAATTTTTAAGAATGTCATTTATGTTCTTTTATTCTGGCCTCAATCAATCTGTTAGTTGAGTCTATACAAGTTATCTGTCTGCTGAATCTAGAATCTTCTAGAAATATGGCCACACTCAAGGCTTCTTTTTTCTCATTTATTTAATCTTTTCCATTGGTTAATAACATGAATATTGTTGGGTTTCTTTTAAATGTTATATCTATTTGTATATCTTTCACTATGCTAGAATAAACTTTGTGTAACCTGAGGTCAAATTCAATTGTTACATATTTGCAATCAGGTTTTTGTTGTTCTGCTTCTTTATCTGATTTGTTTTTTAAAGTTCTAACCAAGCCATGTTTTGTTGCTAGCTTTTTAATAGATTCAATTTCTTGCCATGTATCCTCTTTTCTAGAACAATGCATGTAAGTTCATTGAACAAGTGTTCTAAATGCTGCTATTTTAAAACTCTTTGGATCATTAAAGGTAGCAGGTACGAAAAGGAAGGTACATTTGGTTTTGATAAACATTTGTGAGTATTTTATTCTCACAATCTCTATTTCCAGATCTAGATAGTGTACTTTTGTTTTGTCTGATTGGTCTAATACTAATTTCAAACTATACCTATTGTTATTAATAGTTTGCAAAAACTCTTCAATGTTGGGTTTTGTTTCCAAATGATTAAAACATCGTTGATGTATCTTGTATATAACTTCATATAAAATTTGGATTGTTCCACTTTGGAACACAGCATAACTCCTTCCAATTAGAATGGCTTCTAACCTGAAGAAGGCCTGTAAATCATTCGAAAACATAAGCATGAACCAAAAGCATTTCTTTATAATTCATTAAAACTATAAAGAATTGCTGGAAATATATAAAAAGACATGTTTTTATATATAATTTATTCTGTAATATAAGAATTTCAGTTATTTCAGCATTTAATTAAAATAGCAATGATAAGCTAATATTACACTTAGGAATATGTGACATGTGATGACCACAAACTCATAGTGTTACCAAACTCCTCACAAGTCCTTCTTTCATCTGATCACACATATATATATATGTATTATGCATATATTTATATTACATATATCTACATTTTATTAGATAAATTTTTAATAAATTTTATTAGAATATTTTTAAAAATGGTTATTGTCCATATTATTCAATAATTGGTTATTGTCCATATTTATTTCAATTAAAAGATTACATATATCATACGAATATTTCAACTATTTATGTTAAATAAATTTCATTAAAAAAAGGATTAAAAATAAATTAATAAACTGTGAAAAACATTTTATCTTAGTTCTAGTCTAGAATATATTTGAAATATTTTCTTCATAATTAGAACATTTTTCTGCATTTATAAATTGTCAGAACAGCTTATAACAGATGCTTAACTGTAGAAAAGATTAAAACTCTGGACTAAAAATTAACATTAATGCTTTAAAACAGTGATACCTGAACTTTTTCGAGCCACCACCTCTTGGTTCCATAAACATATCTAACATCCCAACTCCTTTTCCCTTGTGTGAGAAAGACTTGGAAATATTCTTAGAAAAGCTTTTCTATGAACCTCATACTTTGTATCCTTACCACACATTGTTCTCCACATCTGGAAGCCATTAAACACAAAGTTTCTTCTTGTCTGTTTTAATGGAGAAAAGGAAAGTTGTCAGTGACCATATCCTTCACCTACGATCACTGTTTGATCAGGACCCTCCCACCAATGCCCTCTTGCTTCTTTTCACCTACTAGGGACAGTAGTACCCATTTTGGAAACCACTGCTTTAAAGGAACAAATGAAATGCAAATAGTTCATATTAGTGCTTTTGGGCAGTGAGCCCATCCTCAGATCACAAATATTGCAAACTATTAGCTAGGATTTCACATAACTCAGAAAAATTTCTTTTTGAAACAGCAATTTAAAATTTCTTGACAATATAGTTAATAAATGTTTTAGATGCCATGCATCATATTCCTGTAGTCAATAAGTTACTAAAGACTGGACATTGCTAGACTTTTATTTAATCTAGGTCAACGTTTTTCAACCGTGTGGTCATGATGATGGGACAGATAGTCCACAGGAAAACTTAAATTAACAAAGATTAAAACTTTGTTCTACTTTTAATAGTTTACTTCCAACTTAATTAATTATGTTTCCATATGTATTCAAAACATGCTTTTATATTTATTATAAATGGCACAATATGTCCCAAATGTTGGTAATACCTGCATAGGTTTAAAAAAAAAACAAGTCTACATATATTAATTAATGATCCATAGAATTTTTTCAGGCATTCTACTGGTCCTTGGGATTAAAAAAAGTTGAGAAACACTGATCTTTGTGGTTTAAAATTTGTAAGAGAGAGAGAGAGAGAGAGAGAGAGAATAATAAAGCATAATAAGTATATAATTCATTTTTTACAGGTTTTCTTGGCAAGTTTTATGTATTTAGTGATTCTACAGTTTTATTGTGAGTACAACTTATTTTGTATATTGTGTGTGTTTAAAATGAGTAAGTCTGAGAAATATATAATTTTATGTATTTTATTTGACAATGTGTGAGATTCGGAATTTAGTTAACGAAAATGCCGCTCTTTTATTAACTAAACTTTTAATTATTTTACTTTCGTTTATGTAACAAATTGGAAGAAAAAATTGATCTTAGCCGGGAATGTGTAAATTTTCAACATCTATTGTTCTCTACATAACTTGCAGCTCGTCTTGCACAAAAGTTTATAGTTAGCATCCAACTTTTGTCACTTGTTTTAGATCCCTGGAACACCTATAACCTTTAGCTCATAAACATCCGATCACATGGTGGAAATTCCTCACAAAAAGCTATAAAAGACAGTTCTTACCCCCTCTTGGGGGAGTCTCTTAACGAAAGCTGGACCAATGACATCATGTCGATTCTTCGAACCCGCCGACATTCTGATCTATGAACATCGTTATCTGATCATCGCCAAAGCCACAAACTTTTTATTATTGTGCCCATTTGAATTAAACCCACCTTTTATTGAACAATTAAGTGCCTACGTGGATTTACTCACCTAGGAACCATACAAAGAGGTATGAAAAAGTGTGTCAACTCTCTCTCGAGCTGTTAGGCAGTCTAGAAAGAGATTTGTATAGTCTTTTTGTCGATTTTGTTTATTTCAATAAATTCTTATTTTTACTTGTTAAAATGGTAGACTCCTTTACTCATTTATGTCCTTCACCTTATCGTCGACCACAAATACTCTCCCTCCACTCGCCTGACATTTGAGCGTCCCAACCCTAGGGACCAGCAATAAGAAAAACTAGCCATCTTGACAAGTGAGCAGGTTTAACGACCTGTCGCCAGAAAGTGAGACCTATAATCTCCCGGCGGTTCACAAATGAATATAATATCTGGCATGCCATAATGGTACAGATTGATTTATCTGTAATTACAGCTCTATCAATTTTCATCATCATCATTATTATCATACTAAATTAAAAATACCCTCTTTTTAATAATAAAAAGCAGAACAAAGTAATAAATTATCAGAAATTTACTAGAAAAATAATTATAACTATAAACATAGATATTCTTCAAAATATTTCTATTTCTTTTAGTAATCATCTTTAAAAAGGTTTGTTACTAAAAGATTTAAAAGATAATACATAGATAAAGATCTTTTATATAATACAAAATTGCTGCACTAAAAGTAATAGTAATCATTACCTTCTTCTTGAATCAACCCCTTTTACTTACACACACATATATATATATTATGAAATTTGATAATAACTATAAATAATAAATCTTATTGAAGTAATTAAATTCAACTTACCGACATCTGTATGTTAATATTTGCTCCATGATTATATAATTCTTGTACAATATCTAATTGATTACACTGACAGGCAACAAGCAAAGGTGTTCCACCATCCTAATTTATTATATAATTTGTTAATGATAAAATATTAATAAATCTATTGATATAAATTAACATGTAAATACACCATGCTTGGAGTGTCAACTGGAGCTTTGTATTTAAGAAGTAATTGTACAATATCCAAATAACCTCCTTGGGCAGCAAAAAATAATGCTGTTGTTCCAGTCTGCAAATATAACAACAATAATTAAATTTTACCTGTAATGAGATTAATATTTTATATTTATCAACAGTACTCAAAGTGTGGCTTCAAACTGCATACAGCTGTTAGACATCTGAACAAAACACCTACCATTCAAAAATTTTATATGAAAAGCTTAGATATTCCGTTATATTCTAGTAAAAACATTATGTAAGAATAAATGCAACCTTTAGACATCATCATCTTGGTATTAAATCTGGCAACAACCAAATCCATACTGTCTAACAAATCCATAATGTCCTATCATATCATCATGACAGCATTATGTAGCAATTTCAATTTGGTTTTTAGTTATTTGACTTCATACATATGTTATTATACAGAATAAAGCATATATAATTCTACAGTTCTACTTTATATAATTCTATAATTTTTTTATGTCGTATATTTTTTGTGTATATATTTCTATTGCTCTTTCTTCTGGCTTTTGATGATGTCAGCTCTTTAAACATGACAATGGCCAAAACTGCCTTAATCTGTTTCAGACAATATCAGCTGAAGGAAAAATTGTTTGACTGCTTTTGCTAAACAAATTCTCCAAATAGCCTGAAGGGTAAAAACAATTTCATCTCAAGTACATAGAAAGAAAAGGTTTTCAGAGCTTAAAGAGTTAAATGTAACTCTCCAAGCACATGTAGCTAAATACTTCTTAAATGTAATGCTTTTCTTTACAATATTTTCAGACTGATTATGCACAATTGTGTTTCAAAAAGATTTATTTATTTTATAACCAATTATTTTATCTCAAATCTTAAAATATTTAATTTTATTGAAATATTAATCAGATAAATATACCAAGAGGCATATATAAATGATTAATAATATTTTTTATTTCTTTTCCACAAAATTCAAATTAATTATTATATAAAAATTTCCCTGCTGAATTTGTAAGGAAACAGAAGTTTTTAAAAAAAATTCAATTAGAACAATTTTATTTTTTAAGATATTTTTTAAATTCAAATTTGCTTTTTTTTTAAATGAAATTTTTCAAAATATATTAAAATATTATTATTAATCTTTCATTTCAATTTTTGATTACAATAGAACCTTGCTTTTCACAGATTAATATATACTGTATACAATATTTTAACAAATAATAAATGGTTAGATTGATTACCCACTGAATGCACAGGATAATTCTGACTATTAGGCACACACTGACTACTTTTATTATGAAAGTCATCATGGAATAAAAGTAATAGTATAAAAATTTAAAGTAATCTTCTACAGCCAATTTTGAAAAATTAGCTAATTTTCAATATTATTGAACAACATTAAATAAAATTCAGTACAATAAAACAACTGGAATATAATGTATATACCTGATAATGGTCATTTAAAATGAATGAAAAAATTTGCATTTTAAATTAAATTATATTGCTGAAACATAAAATTGTGTGTTATTTATAGTAATTAAAATTGTTTGTTATTACTCTATATTTAGTAATGTAAGCAAAATTTATATGTACACATGTACTAAAGTAAAACTTTATAAAATAACTTTTAGCTTACTTTTCTACATGCAGCAACATTTGAACCTTCTTCCAACAGTACTTTGGCACATTCATAATGGTTATTTGCACAAGCAAGAATAAGAGCTGTTGTTCCTTCCTGTTAAAAATATTAACAATCATTAGCTCTATTATTATATTTAATACAGTACAGACTGATCTCTTTATCACAGGTCAATCGTATGGAAAATGAATACATCAACAAAGTACAAAGCATAAGAATAATTTTCAATGAGAGTATCAAACAAAACATAAATGTATTTAGACTGCATTTTTTAAAATCAAAATTTGAATTATTATTATTGAATTATGAAGTAAAACTTAAAACTTTTTGTAAGAAAATAAATAAGTAAATGGTTAATTGTGTAATTTATAAATAACAGCATAATTAAACAGATTTTTTGCAATTCTATTTCATGTTAATTCTTTTCACAAAACCATAGAACTGGTTTTTTCCTCAGTACAACACTGAAAAAAAAAACAATTATATAGAATTACATTTAATTTTAACCCAATATAAATAAATTAGCATTCAAAAAGATTTAAAATGATTAATTCATAATTAAATTCATTTGATACAGTACAGTCAATTTTCTTTAATACTTCTTCAGTAAAAATCATTTTTTGGAAAGCTTTCAAATTTAGTTCTTAAACATTCTAAATAGGATAATTAGGAAGGGACTTTTACAAAAAAAAATTAATTCCAAAAACTCAACTTTGGTCATATATTAATAACTTTGTTTAAGTCTAACAAGGAAAGGGCATGACGGGGTCATCAATTTTGGTCAAATTCAGTGAAGATATAATGCATCCCCAACAATTAATATGTGCCAAGCAGTAAGGTGCACTATTCAAAATTAAACAAAAAAATTAAAGATGAAAATTACACAATCAATTAAAACCTTTAGAATTTCTATCATTCATAGTGTGGCTAGTAACTCTGTGGGGCATGCCAGTTTTGTAATCAGAAGGTTGGTATTTCAAATCTTGGTATCAATGTGACTTTTTTATAAAACTATAAATTTCACTTTACTTTATTCTTGGTATTTTTCAATTTATTATATTTATTTAAAAATTATTTTCAAATATTTATGTCCATATGGGATTTGTACATAATATTTATTTATAATTTATTTAGGAAGACAATGAGATATAAACAAAATTTTTGTTATTCAGGACCAATTTTGTTAATAAAAAAAAGGACATTTTTATTACCATTATTCAATTTGTTTGCTCTTCAACAGCAAATATTGTGGATGATAATTGTCATAGAAGTACATGAAACAATAAACTTGTGTACAAACATCGCTAAACCCGATAATTAGCCTTAAACTAGCCCGATAGAATTTCGGCATTTGGTTGGTGTTAAACTTAGCAATAAACTTGTGTACTGAATAAATGCACTAAATACATTACAAAAAAAAAAAAAAAACATAAGTTGTTTCAGTAACATGACATTTTAACAAAATACAAACATTTTTGACCTCTTTCTGAAGTCTGTATTGAGTTTCATTATAAAATTTGTATCTTTAAATCTGAACAGTCCAGTTTGCAGAGGACTTCTCTTTGTATTGACTAAATGCAGTATTTTTATAACAAGATTTATATACTGTATGTCACTGGATAACAGACTTGATTAACATTTAAAACACTTCTCTTCATCAACTAATTTGGAGATAAACCATGCATACCATATCAATTTGAAAATATCAAAGTGCTTAATGTTTTCTCCTATTACCTTCAAAACTTCTGAAACTGATGAAGAACCCTCAAATGCAATTAGATCTTGATTTTGAAGGATACTTTCACAATATGTAAAAGCATTCTTTATTAGAAAGAAATTGTACTGTCTTTTGGCATTAGATTTATTTGTTTGATGAATTAAATACATACATGTACTTTCGACATTTCATATGTCAAAAGTACTTGCATGTATTTAATATACCTTATATACTCACATATAAGATGAGGTTTTTATCAAACCTATCTTATTAGAACAGAATAAGTATTAACTTCACAACAGAGTGGAAGTTACTTTTAAGTAATTTCTGCATATGTATGCATGATGTATATACTTATTTTAAACATACTTATTTGTTTGATAAAAATGTCCAGAACAGTAAGTACAAATTTAAAAAATTTATAAAAAAATTTCTCAAAAAAGATTATACATTAAGAAAGCTTTAGCATTTTATATATTGAGGCAGATGAGAAGCCTTTAAAGCAGGGGTGGCCAACCTTTGCATACAATGAGCCAATTTTCTGACAGATGAGTTCAGATGCGCCATATAAATCAAACACTTTTTATACAGTCTTACATTCAATGATAGGTGTTGATAAATAGAGATAAGAATAAATCTGCTTCGCTTAGGATAGAAAAAGGAGTAACTTAATCACGCAGTTGAATTAATTAATTTATGACAGTTTATTGAAGCACCAATTTACAATAATCAGCAATGATCTCCTGTACGAGAGGGTGATTGCTTGATGATGGTGCTATAGCTGCCAGAGTCTCGTTTGGTGAAGATTACTCTGCACCACAATTATTGGCACTGAAAATCAGCTTGGAATAACTTTAATCACAATAAATGTTTTCAACCATTTACACGCCTGTAAACTGATCGGAAATAAAGATCGCAAGACTCACAATACATGCATACACTGTAATTTACTATGTGGAGAACATTCATTTTATCTGAAAAATAGACTGTAACGAATTGTGAAACAAATGAACTTGCCAAGACAGACTATAAAAAATTTATCTTTCTATATAATATTTTTAATCGCAAAAAAGCCAAATCTGGCAATTTTGCTCAGATCAAACTGAAGTGCCTTGTAATTGTCCAATGCGCCAAGTTTTGGCCACCCCTGCTGTAAAGAAAGGTCGACTCCACTGTGACTGTTATTTTCTCAGGTGTTACAAAGGACAAAATAAAGACACTTTTAATACATAGTCTTTTTTAAGGCTTTTTTATAAGTTTTTGTTTATACTTATTCTGTTTAAATGATTTCATTATTCATTATTTAATGAGATCTACAGGGTTTGAGATTCATGACATATATATATATATATATATATTCCTATATATATATATAGGAAAGTAATTTCGTTTTTTTACCACCAGAGGGATTAGTTGTATTTTTACCCACCAATTTCATTTTAAACCATATTGTCATTATATATTTTGACAGCTGACATTTCAAGGCTTATTTGTAAAAAGTTTTGTTTAATTCTGTGCAATTGTTTTTATTTTGGTGTCCCATCAAATATGGAAAATCGAAAGCAGCATTTTCAGCATATTTTGCTTTTTATTACCAAAAACCAAAAATGCTGTTCAAGCAAGAAAAAAATTGTGTAACATGTAGGAGAAGATCTGTTGACAGAACAACAGTGCCAAAGCTGGTTCACAAAATTTCATTTTGGCAATTTTGATATTGAAGATGCACCACATTCTAGAAGGCCAGGTGAAGCTAATGAAGACAAAATAAAGGTATTGATTGAAGCAAACTGCCAAATAACAATACAAGAAATTGCTAAGCTAAGAGATAAAATTTGTCAAATTGAACTGTTAATGATCATTTGAAATGACTTGGTTTCATTTCGAAGCTCGATAAAGGGATTTCACATGTTCTTTTTGGTGGGATTTTAAGGGAAACTTTTTTGAGCTTCTATCAGACAATTTTACAACTGATTCAAAAGTGTACTGCCATCAAATGGACAAATTAGGTGATACAATCAAACAGAAGAAGCCAGAATTTATCAACAGAAAAGGTGTAGTGTTTCACCATGATAATGCTAGATCTCACACAAGTTTGGTAACTGGTCAGAAACTGCTTGAATGGGATGTTCTACCACACCCAACATATTTGCCAGATCTGGCACTCTCAGATTAGTGTTCCAGTCTTTACAAAACTTTTTAAACAGTGAAATGTTTACTTCAAATGAGAATGTCGAAAATCCAAAAATCACTTGAATCAGTTTTTTGTAAGCAAAGATCAAAACTTTTATAAACATGGAATCATGCTACTACTAGAAAGATGGCAACAGGTATTTGACCAAAATGGTCAATATATAATTCAATAAAATATTTATATATTACAAAATTGTTTTTATTCCACAAAAAACAATATTACTTTCTGAACAACCCAATATCATGTGTATATTTATTAGTGGTGTGCCGGATTGTTAAAAATGTATATCCGCGGATACGGATACAGATACGGATCTCAACTTTCGTACTCAGTCAGCGCCAGTGCGTGTGACCTTGGACCAATAGTTGACACTTTGCATTAGTAAATTGACGTGTTTTGACTTGCACTGCGCGTGTTTTTGTTTATAGTTTAGTGTGACACGGAATAGTGTAGATTACGTTTGTATTTTTGGAGAGTGTTGAGTTAAATTAAAATAAAAACAATGTCAACAAAAAAGTTTAGTAGTGTAATATGGAAATATTTTACGATAGTAAATGAATTTTGCATGATAAAATTTTTGCAATGTGAATGTGCCAAATATGTGATTTTAAAAAATAAAAAGTGATTTGAATTGAAGTTATTAATATTTTATTGCTACATATCTTTAAAATTTCATATAAGTAATGAAATTCATTAAGATAAAAGATCCGTTAAAGATCCGCTAAAAAGTAACGGATACAGATACAAATACAGATCTTTTTTTCCCCTTGGATATCCGCGGATACGGATATGGATATCTGGCACATCACTAAATTTATGCACAGTAGAAGTATACTTACATATATATATATTACCTGAAAGTAACTTCTACTCACAACATACATACTGTAAATGGGTACAAATGTAGTTGTATACTTGTAGCTCTGAATGAGGCAATTGGGGCCTTATCAGAGCTGTACAACATACCCATATAGGAGCAAAAAAGTCAAAGAAACCATATCTCTACATGTAACCCTTTGCAAGATACAGTCCCCCAAAATCAGCCTACTTCCAGATTGCATTCAATTAGGAATTGTGTTGCTCCGCTAAGACCATCACATTTAGCTATTTAGCCGACACAACTATGCCAGCTTTGCATAGCCCATTCGACCATTCGTGGAGTACTTGATGTTATATAGTTTTAGAAGGTGTGGGGGGATGAGGTATGAGTGTTAGCAAGCACTAAAGTGCACACTATACTGTATGCTCTACATTGGTCAAGGCAAGCAATGACAAGTGTAATGGTTCCATAGAAAGTAGATCTGCAGAACTAACAGAAACAACGAGCGAGTCAGCTTAACAAGTTGGAGTTTAATTCAACTATTCCAATTCACGATACAGAACCATAATGCAATTTAGCTAAACACCAACCAAATGCCAAAATTATATTGGGCTAGTTTAAGGTTAATTACTAAATTCTAAACTAGGTTATAAATTATTTAAATTAATTAATTTATTTATAATTATTAATGTTAATACGAGATGGCGCCTAATGCTTACCTCTAGAGTCAATTTGGTTATGTAATTCATTTAATAATTAGCCTTAAACTAGCCTGATAAAATTTCAGCATTTGGTTGGTATTTAGCTATATTATATATTGGGTTTAGCAATGCTTGCATATAATGCAATTTGTCATGCAATTCACACTTCCTTTGACGATTTACAATACATTACCATAATACACTCTAACATGTGAGAGACAATCAAAAGATTTAAAATCACACTATAATAAGTGCAATTTTAAAGAAAGCATGGAGTGAATGTGAGATCTGACCTCAGAATAAGCCCAAAAGTGTTCATTTCGCCCCTAAATTTTTGACGTATGTGAAATAAATTTGTCGCCTCCTCGTTAAAATAACATTGTTGGAAAAAAGAATCAAATATCAATAGAAACGTATAACTTTCCTCGTTAATATAAACATTCAACCCTCGAACAAAGACATTCCTCTGCTGCAAGACAAAAGTTTATAGTTAAAGTCTGAATTTGTCATTTTGTTTTGGTCCCATGGACAACTTTAACCTCCACACCTGCAGGACCAACTCTACCTCTCACAATAGAGGATCACCTGACTAATTTCCCCAGTCCAAAGCTATAAAAGCAACTGCTTTCCCCCTCCTCGGGGGAGTCTCTCATCTACGGCTGGTCAAAAAGGATTAAGTCTCGGAGGATTTTAACTTTGTGTGTCGATCGGAAGAATAAGGGCATCAACCTAACATCTACATTAAAAATATACCAGAGGTATGGAGCATAAAATGTAAACTCTCTCTCCGCGAGTTAGGAGCTAGCGAACTAAATTAATTTCTCCAGATGTTAGATTTTGTAATCGGTATTTTTTCGTTAATCTAATAAATCGTTGTTTCCATTGTTAAATGGTGTCATTTACTCGCATATTACCCATGCCTCGTTGACAATCCCTCTCACCTCCTCCACTCGACCTGACAAAAAGAATCCTGACCCTTCGGGACCACATTCGAAATTTAGCCATCTTGGCAAGTGAGCAGGTTTAACGACCTGTAGCCGAAAAGGAAGAGTTGATGGTTCCCGACCTCCCCGGCGGTTCACAGAAGGGTTCCTTGGCAAATAGCAATCGAGAACCATGTACAAAACACTTATGATTTCTTTCCTTGAACATACAAGAAAGGAGGTAGAAATAACTAATGTCCTCAAACAAAGCTTTCTTCCATCATTTGTCTCGAGCACGTGCTCACTCAATGTTCCAATGTACAAGATGCAATGGGGATGGATTTCTTCTTGTGGTCCTCAATCACTCTCCACTGTTCTTTATTCCAGTAGATGCGTGGTCATCCATTTCTCCAACGTCCTTCTTCATAACTATTTCTCTTTTGGTACGAGTGACAAGCAGGATACGAGCACGACGGAGAGCACAAAAAAAGATGTCCTATACACATGACTCCAGATGTTTTATATTCCCTGAGCGGATATCCTCCCTCCCCACACGACCCAATCCAGACACCAACATATTGTAGGCCAGGAAAAAGTGGTATCACCGAAATAACGACGGGACAGAGGGAAAAAACAAAAGCACACAAAATAATATATATACATTGCAAAGCACTACACATGTCTCGACCATTATGGAGCATAAAGAATAGACGGTAGTACCAATACACGGTAAAAACCGATCTTTGGAGGCGAATATCTCACCAAGGGTCGTACATACAGTACAGGTTTGTTTGACTTTTAGCTCATTGGAAACTGCAATTTTACCCTGTAAATATAAACATAAACTACTTACTACGTCAGTGCAGTCGATGTAGACTTTTCCACTATCCAGAACTGTGACGAGACTAGTCAGATCTCCCTTTAAAGCAGCTAAATGAAGCTGATGAGCTGTAGGAGTCTCTTTCTGGAATGAAAAATAAGTGAAGTTGCTAGCTGCAAATCCTTGAAAGGGCATCTCTACAAAAGTGAGAATGTCATTTCTCTCGTATCTAAAATTACTGGCTTCGCCGACTTTCATTAGCTTATTTTAATTATAATTTATGTTTATAAATATAATAAATATAAACAAATCATTAATCCAAATTAATTTTCGTAACGATTATCGCGAATAGTAAACATCACGTCGTTTATTTTGCCAAGTTCTTGTGTTCGTCACTAGAGGTCTCTTGTAATTTTCATATTTATTTTTAAATTATTTTTTAAAAATAATATTTATGTATTTTATGCGAGAGATTACATATATTTATTTATTTATAACTTAATATATATATTATAATATATTTTTGAATAATTATAATATCGAGACGGTCGTATTCTTCACTGCGCTTTGCCTACCGCTAATCTAGTGAAGCGTTTTTTTTTAAACTCTTTCCGCCCTGAGGGCCATTTTAACAAATCCTTTATGAATTCGGCCAAGCCCATGTTGGTGGCAGGCCTCATATATCCGGACAAACCATTCCCGAAAAATTCCTAAAATTTTTCGACCCGTCCAGATTCGAGACGATTAATGCGTCGACTTGTCGCACTGACAAGTGAGAGGCTGGAATCGAATTCAAACGAAAGAATTTTTTATGGACGATCTTTTCTGAATGTCAAGCCACATCCCTCGTCATCAGGCAGCCTCCTTGTAAATCTGGCCGAATCCATGATAGGTATGTTAAAACGGCCCTTCTAGTGCCCACAGGTCGTTTGATGGTCCCAATATTTCCAGAATAGACCACTATTTTTTTATGGTGGTGTATCCTGGATTTATGAGGTTTTTCGACTTTACAGATTCAATTCCAGGTCCCCAAAGCCGTAGGCTGATACCTAAACCGACACGGCTCAATATACTAGAAAGTAAAGATCCAGACAATTGGAAAATATGTTGCAATAATATACTAACTTATAAATTCTATTTGAAGATTCCGCTTTCAACGATTTCATTTAAAATTCTTTAATTTTTAAATAATATTACTGCGTTGAAATACAAAAGTAGGGTACAGTACAGTACATTATTTATGAAAATTCATTACTCATTAACCATCGTATTTCTTTACCATTATCATTTAAAAAATGTAGCAAACTTAGATTAATATGATACTAATGTTCAAAAATTGTAATTAATTATACTCTGTTGCATCGCTAGATACGCCTTAAAGCAAAATAACCAAATTCTGCACACAGAATAAAAAATTCATTACAAACATCAGCACATGGATTCATCATTGAAGAACAAATCAAACACAAATATTACAAATCAGAAAATGGCAAACAGTCTGAAAATTAATGCAAATGGATCAATGTCAGAAATGGATAAACTTATTAATATGCAATATTTGTGATGAAACTTCAATGATTCGGGTAACCAAATGTCCGGGTTTGGCGCGGAGTCCTCGTATCATTTTTTTTTAACTCTTTCCGCCCTTTGGGCACTAAGAGGGCCTCTTTTTGCAAGCCCATTATGGGTTCGGCCAGGCCCACAATGCGGCTGCCGGGTAATGAGGGGCGGGGCCCGACAAATCCGAACGGACCACCCCCCGAAAAATTCCTGGGGATTTTTCGACCCGTTCGGATTCGAACCCGGGTTCCCTAGAGCTGTAGGTTGCAACCTTGACCGCTCGGCCATCCGGCCGCGGAGTCCTGGTATCATGACAACATTCAGGACTGTGTTCGGGACTTTTTATGTAAGGAAGAAACAAAGAAAAAGAAATTATTTATAGGTGCAACGATAATTTATTACTCAAAGTTTGCCACAAGTGTCTTCAATATGAATAAAATAACCGAATTAACTTAAACATTTTATATTGCAAATAGAATTTTTTAATTTTGAAAAATGTGTTGGTAAAATGATTTTTACGTATTTTACAGCAATTTTAGAAAGGTTTAGCGTAATTTTTTTTCAGCCCTCGAAAGTGTTCTTGTCAGTGGCGCGTAAAACGTTGTTAATCGAATTAATGTGTTTACCGTGGGCATCGGCACCATTAGAAAAAAGATGTTCTCCATTTTTTTTCCACCCGACAGGTGTCGACTACAAGCGCCAGTCGTAAAATGTACACGTGAAAGTGAATTCAATATATTCTTGTAATGACTTTAACGACTATATGAAATCTAATAAAAAGCTATTAAGGAAAGTATTATGTAGTGAAAAATACAATGCAATAGAGCTAAAACAAGAACAATCATTCTCATCAGTTACATAACGTGTAGATTAAATGTTTTTCTGTAATTTGTATTTTGATCTTTTCGTCTTATACTTTTATAGGAAACTCTGTATTATAAAACAGGATTAAATCATTTAACTTATGTTAATAATACTAAATTTTATTCTTTTCTAAAGTAATAGGATAAATGTCCGGAATTGCCGTTCTAGAATTATGGTAACCATATCAATGATGTATCATTGTACTGTAACGCTGTAATGAAGTTTTTGTTACCATTCCACGGGCAGAATTTCATTTCTATTGCACGCCCCCGATTTTAAGGTGCGCCGATAAATTTGCAACTAAACATTTGTTTTGAAACTGATTTACTGAGGGATGTCTCTCGGAAAGACTTTCTATGAGAAACTGACCCCTATTAAGTGTTACTAACATGAAGAAAACCCGAAAAACACCACTTGGCAAGCTTGTTGGCGAGGCGCCCACGGCGGTGACTAACTACCAGTGTTCAGCGGTTTTATCCACTTGGGCACTGGTGGACATCAACTGAATGTATAATAAAAAGACACCGAATATAACGTACAGTATATTTACATAATATGTATATTTTTAAAGGAATTTATTATAAACGTTTATTTAGAAATATATAGAGGAGAAGGTGGTATTATGGAACACTGCGGGTATTATGGAACCACCCCATTTCGAACTGATAATAAAGGCGAACTGTAGCGGAATGTGGATGAACTGAACTAGGCAGACATCCATAGCAAGAGGAAAACCCGTTTTACTTCAGTTAAACAGTTGTCCGTATTTAATCAGCAAATTTGTTTTTTTCAAAATTCGCAAGTTTTGAATGCTAAGTGAATTTAATTATTTTTAAAATATAAATCGTGTAGTTGTAGGTTCACTGTTGCATGTATTCCGTTCCAGAGACTTAGGGGTACATATTAATCTGCGTGATGTTCACGTTTTTTAAATTTTGGTCTCGACAGACATAAGTTAATTCGAGACGGCGATGCGTGAAATACGGACCCCTTTGGTGCTTTTACAGTAATATGGAACTCAACTCCTCCGAACTTTCTATTTGCAATCAGACATTCATCCGGAGCAATTTGTGAATAAGACATTAGGTAGAAAGTCAATTCTTAATAAGAATATCGAAAAAAAGCTGCTGGAATATATATTGTTGATGGAGGTCATATTTTTCTATTATAAAAGCATTTTTGCGATAAAATACATTGGAGTAAATAATTTGGTAATTATTTAACATTCTTTGTACTTTCCTATTTGTTTTTGGCTACATTAAAGCATTTTTTTGAAAATGTACAGTAAGGTTCCATATTACCACCCGATTTTCTCTAAGCCTACTTTCGGACTTTTTGTACAAAAGCCTTCAAAAACCATACTTATAGTTACACTACCGAAAAATCCAATTAGGAACATTTAGTTTACTAGTTACCGGTACTTTTCGCACAAAAAATGTGGGTGTAATTATGATACCTTGTTTACAATTCACTAAAATGTAATTGGGGTTCCATAATACCACCTTCTCCTCTATAGTTCTAATATGTAAAATCTGATATACATATAAATAAAATAATATATAATATACAAACTTCATATCATAAGATTTGAAGATAAGTTAAAATTTCATTCGCTAATAGAAAAATATATTTTGTAAATATTTGCCTTTGATTATTTGTATGATAAGTAGTACTTTTGCATGCTATTTAAGTTTAAAATCGATGTTTTAATCGATAAGTTGGGAATTTCCACCGTTTTCTATGATTCGTCAACTGCTTAAAATGTCATTTTTATCCTGCTAACTTAGATTTCTCAAGAAAAAATAAATAGAATTCGTTGGTAAAAACAAAATTAATTTTTTAATTTAGATTTTTTCATTTGAAGATCAATACAAAATGGATTGCGTGGGCGACATCAGTTTAACTCGTCCTATCTTAAAATTGTATAAACGAACCGTAATATTTTCAAAGGAGTTTTCGTATATACTTTGCATTTTAATAGTTGGAGGCACCCGAACAGGAAGTTAAAGAAAAAATCGTATATGGTAGTCTACACATCTATCATATTTTATTGAAAAACACCCTGCTTGTGCCCGGTGTTGCTCGGGCTTTTGAAGGTTAGGGGATTGATGAAGTTGGATTGGGAAAAGGTAAAAAACTAGTAGACTTAGTAACTAAAATATACATTTAGTGACCCGAGTATTTACGATAATGAACATGTAAAGCACAAATGTACTCGAGTTTAAGTTAAGAAGGGACGAGCTTTAGTGTTAAATTCTCTCAATTTAGCTTATATTTTTAAATAAGCAGATGAAATTAGAGATAAATCATTAATAATAAATACATAATTCTTTCATTAGTATCAAGTTATTACATTAAGCAAATACAAGTGATTTAAACCATATTAAAGAGAAAATGTAAAGTAATAAATGTTTGTGATAAGCACACAATGTTATTTTGTTTAAGCATTATTATAAAAACGAAAAATAACTCTTCAATTCTTCATTCTTAGAAATACATTATAATGCACAATTAATTAGTGTTGTTAGTATATTATACACTTGATAGAAGTATCCAATTCCTGTTGATTACTTGTAGATTTCCTGTTAAAATATTAATCTTAGATAATGTCAAAGGTTACTTGTTATTCGGTACGTTAAATAATGTCAAAGAGCGGTTAAATTTTAAAATTAAGTAAGGACAATTGTTAATTGTAACAAGGTATCACAATTTTATTACTCCTACGCGGTCTACCCAATTATAACATCAAATATATAATAAAATGTTTACATTATTATAGAAAATATAACTTACTATTAGAAATTATATGTACAATAATTAAGATGGATTACAAAATAATATTTTTATCAAATCAATCATAAAAAAAATATCCAACAACGAGTTGCTTAACTTTTCCGGCGGCATTTAAAACTTTGTGTGGCGCCATCTGTTATGAGATTTTATTTTAAAAGCTTTT